CTAGGTGTAGGACAATTTTTAGAGATATAAAATCAAGTAAAAGAGTGGACAAATATATGAGAAAGTGTGAAAATCAAATTAGTTAAGGTGGGAGACTTTGTTGGTTAAAAGAATTTGCCAATCCAAAAAGTGGACAAACACAGACCAATGTATCCATTGTTAATTGATTTTAAATTTGAAAACTCGTGAAATGTAACAAAAATATATATATATATATTTTGTATGTTGGTGCTAATTTTGGTGATGAAATTTTTTGTTAAATAAGAAATGACCGAATAATGAAGTCGCCCATTCCGTTGATTTCAAATTATGAAATATGTTTAAAAAATGAAAGTGGTAGCTAAGTTTTATAGAGACTTGAATTTGTTTTGAATCACTGGATGGATGATATGATAAATTTTACAATCCGGTGAATCCGGTCATTCGAGCATTCATCTTCTACTTTTTTTTTTCTGAGAAACCGAAGTAAGTATGGTCCATAGATTTACGTTGGTAACTTATCAAATCCGTTTAACTTATATATAGATATTTTATAATGAGAACATGAAACCCCATTTTCGATTTATAACAGCACTCAACCTACTATTTCTTATATAATTAAAAAACTACTAATTTTTTTTATGAGATTCACGTTAGTAATGATCTAAACCGTTAAGTCTCTATCAATTATTATTCTGCTTGCATCAATCAAAATGTGTGTGAGTATTCAATGAGTTTGAGATTAAAGTGCACATAGACAAATGGCAAAATTATATATCTCTAAGTCTAATAAAGTTGGAAAGAAAGAAACATAACTTAAAATAAAAGGGACTACATTATATGTTATCTTATTTAGCCTAATTAATCATGACATCGATATTCCACGTTACTAGATGCTTGTTTTTGTTATGTTCCCTCTCAATCGACTAAATTTTATTCGAACATTTCTTATCTATCGTTTGATGCGACTTATGTCACTTATCATCACTCCTAAATAATACGAGCATTGAATAGCAGTTCTCATTTATGATAAAGTTTGATTTTGCATGCATGTGTTACCATTTTAAGAGATTACACAATGATGTACCATTTCAATTTTCAATTATCGTTCATTCCAAAATGCTCATCACAGAGGTTTTGCCAATAGCTTGTAACTTGTAAGGATCTTGATTCTTGTATCAGTATCTAGATAAATAAATACTCCATTTTGCTACCTTTCTATACGTAATTTTTTTTTCATTTTCTTCATAAAATTTACGGTTATAATATGTTTACCAAATTTGTTTACATGAAAGATGGAACCAAAACGTATACATATAAGATCATCAGATCATATATCTGTACTTCAATTTAAGTTATAACATCCGCGAATATTGAAATTTACTCCAGCATGTTTATAATTTTCTTTTATTTATCAAAACTCTTTACAAAACAAGAAATTATTTACAGAACCGAGACTTCAAAATATATGAAAGTACGTACTAAATAAAGTTAAATATATTGCGCAAGGATTCGACTTGCGATGCCCATAGGAAACGATGGGTATCGAATAACAAAACAACCTTCCAAGGTTCATATATAATATTTTTTTTGTCAATTATATGGTTCATTAATTTATGCGAATTGTAGATTAATATACATACACTTTTGCGAGTTTGCGTCACTAACAACGATGACGTGGTATGAATTATGAAACCCATTTCCAGTTAATTGGATTTGTATTTTGTATAGTTTTTTTTTTTTTATTGGGAGTGGAATCTTATCCCATTATCAGAATGAGCAAGTTAAAAAAGTACTATTTGCTTCGATACGTTTCTATACGGTTTTAAAGATCACACTTAAACATTCTAAGCCAAGCATATCTTTATAAATAAATGTATATGTAATGGTTTGGTATTTAAAAATCACCCTTGGCACTGGTAGGTACTAGTCTTCTAGACTTGTATTTTGTTTTTCTTTTGTTCGGTCAATACAAAACCTTGTATCAAAAGAAGGTATGGTAATTAATAAAATCTTGTATCAAAAGAAAGTGTTTAGCTAATTTGTTGTCTTTAAAAGTTTTATATATCAGTGTTCTTTTGCTATCGATAAGATTATCGATAATAACTTAAAAGAGTAGTAATTCTTAATCAACGGAAAAAGAGTAGTATTTGACAAAGCAAACTACGTTTTGTAATTAGTTGCATCCATATCATGTTAATTACAAATGCATGAAATTAGTTGCATGCATTATGCATATCATGTTTATTGCAGTATGTTGCTTGATAATTGATGCTATTAACTCATGTATCTTTCGATCAGGTGTTATTAGATTGTCCCACATCAGTACTTAATTGAGAGAATTCTAAATTAATATCAAGTTGTAGCAATCCTCCACCGTTGAGCTAGGTTTTGGGTGTGAGTTAGACCCATTACCAATATGGTATTAGAGCATGCCCAAATTTTTGATTGTAGACCACCCATGGATATCCAATCTCACAGACTTCACGTTTTACCTGTCCAATCCTGAACGTGAGAGAGGGCTAATAGGTGTTGATAAATTTGACCGAACTTGAAGAAAAGCAGACTCGATTTGATGATTGTTCTTATCATATTAACCAGATGACAATCTAGATCTACTAATTAGAGAGATAAAGGGAAATGCAAAACATATACATATAATGTTTATTGGTAAGTGATTAATGATGGTAATGGTAAGTGTGAGGTTCGTACGATGACGTACGAAAGAAGGAGATTAGGCGAAAGTTAAAGTACTTTAGAGTTGGATTCATGCTTGGACTCCATCTTCCATAACTTAGGCTAATGGATTACACCTCTTT